GCCCACGTTTTATTGAATAAACAGTAGGACTCTTGAAAATGTCACCTATCTTTCCAGGGAGTGATTTTTTCAAAAAAGTTGTAAACTGCAAAAATGAAGCTCTATTTTTGTTTTATACTTTCTGAAATTTTCAGTACAATTTGACTATTTTGACCTATTTTTTGAAGCTTTTAAACTTTGCTATTCATTTATGGCTACTTTATGACCGAGACCGAAAGATTTACGACTTTATGACCGAGACCGAAAGACCGAATTAATACAAAAATAATTTTATTATAGTTTAAAAAATAAAAAAGAGAATTCTAGAACAATTGATTCATTAAGAAAATTGGAATGTCAGTGATGGAATTGAAAAGATATGAAATCACTGTGAGCTGCTCCGAATCAAATTTCTGTTTGGAATTTTTTGAAAATTCTCAAATAATTCCATAAATTCGATGGAACAGCTCACCTGGATGTGAAAAGAAGATGGTGGTGACATTTTGTTCTTGGCGGGAATTTGAATTTTTGAAAATTGGAAAAAAAATTAATAAAGATAACATTTTGGAAAAATATTGGGAAAGAATTTGGAAAGAAAATTGTTCGATAATAATTTTTTACAGATGATCTTTGCCCGTTTTTTAAAGAAAAAATAATTAGAAAAAGTTGGGATTATGGATATTTCAAAGTGGGCGGGGTTTTAAAAGGGGGCGGAGCCTAAAGAATATTGATGAAGAATTACAAGATTGGGGAAGTTAGAAAATTCTAAAAGCAGGGAACATTTTTTGGTGGGAATCTCAATTTTTGAAATTCCAAAAATTGACGAAAATTCAAAATTTTCAGAAATTTCAAATTATTGGGAAAGTTTTCAGAATTTCAAAATCGGAGGTTTTGCGCCAAACAAATAAAAATTCCATTCAAAAACTCGAATCCTCTAATTTTCCAAATATCTTGTAAATCTAATATTTTGAAATACAGTAACCGGAAAAGTTGATATTTCATCATTTTCAATGAGAAATAACAAAGTTTAGGGATCTCAAAAAGTAGGGCAAAATTGTTGGATTGTTCTGATAATTTCAGAAAACGTAGAACGAAAATAGAACTATATTTTCATAGTTGACAACTTTTTTGTAACGCTGATGTCTGAAGAGATACATACTCTTGAAAGGACATTTATTCTTTCTTGAAATTCTTTTCTTGAAAATATAGGACCCTTGAAAAGTGTCCTCTATCTTTTCAGGGAGTGATTTTTCAAAAAAGTTGTCAACTACAACAATGAAGCTCTATTTTTGTTTTATATCTTCTGAAATTTTTCAGAACAATCCAACAATTTTGACCTAATTTTTGAGAGCTCTAAACGTTGCTAATCCTTTCCGGCTACTGTATTTCTAAAATTTCAAAATATTCTAAATTTGTAAAAAAAAAGAGAAAATCCGAACATGAAGAATCTACTTGAATGCTCGATTCAGCGAATATCTAGAGTGACAGAATCTACAACTCTGCATATCCATTGCACTTGATGACGTGGAAACCGTCGCGGCGTCGGCAGTCTGATCAATGTATCGAATGCAGCGAATATCGGTTGGAATGAATGGGATAATGTGTTTGGAGACATAGAGATTCTCGACGATGAACGCTTCTCGAGACATGTTTCGAGCGCGTTTTTGCATTAGATTCGCGTAGAGTTCCGAGACAAGGACCACCTGAAAAATTAGACTTTTGAAGGATCTAGGGATTATAGCGGGATTTGATATTTTACAGAAAATGAGATAAGGGAGCTCAAAGCTGAATTCTGAAAAAAAAACATTGGTGCTTTTATGATAAGTAATTTATCAGTTGACAAAATTTTAATATCTCTCGCAAGAAACAAGACAATTGAGCTCAAATTCGATGTATAAGGTGGGCTTATAATGGAGAATTGGCGTTATTCTAACTATCTGGATTTTTCGAAGTTCAAAACTCAAAACTAAGAATTCTTGCTTCTTCTAAAACCACGAATTCTCAAAAACGAAAAAGTGTAATGTTTCATAAAAATGGGAAGAGGACATCAGAATTCGAAAAAAAAACACATCACAAACATAGTGATGTGAAAACTTTATGAGTCAATCAAAACGAAAAATTCCAATCTTTTGAAATTCTTCTTTGAAAATCTTAGAACCTCAAACTATCGGAATTCGAGTATTTTAGAATCTTAACACCTTTGAATCTTAGAATCTTAGAATCGCAGAACCTTAGAATCCTAGAATCCTAGAATCCTAGAATCTTAGACCCCCAGAATCCTAGTATCCTAGAGTCCTGGAAACTTCCATAATCTCCCAAAAATTCCATAAAACTTCAGAATCCCTACCTTTCCTCCAACCACTGCCAACGCGGATCTAGCATCTTGAATCTTTCGTCCGAAATAATGGATTTTTCGAATGTACTGCACTCCAACCAAATCGATACACATGGTAGTAATGGCCAATCCTAAAATTTTTTTTGAATTTTCAAAAATACTTCAAAATCCTACCTAAAATGATATAGAGCAAAATGATATACATGTATCCATCCCGTCGAGGCATCAGATCGCCGAAACCGACCTGGAAGAGAAAATCGGGTGTGGTGGCCTAGAAAACCTCACTTACAGTAGTCATTGTAATGAAGGACCAGTAGAAGGATGTGAAAAAAGACCAAGGTTCCAGTTTTGACATTAGGACACCGCCAAAGGCAGTGTAGACAATTAGAATTGCCAAAACTAGGAAGGCGGGAATTCTAAAAATTTCAAATTAATTTAAAATTGGAATTCCCGATTACCTCTTCTCCTCAATGTTCATATCATGTCCCATTCCATGACTATGACAATGCTCACAAACGTGCTCTCGTCGTTCCTTCCGATGACGTGACAGAATTAGATACTTGAGTTTCAGATAGTTACCGTACAACCAGACGAGATGTTCGGATAGGAATTTACCTGAAATTTTTTTTTGAATAGTTTAGTCGAAAATTTTTATTTGAAGCGAGTTGCCAGACAATTTCACTTTCAGCTCAATAATCTCAATTTCTGTAAGAGATATCACAAAATTGTAAACTGAAAAAATGTTTATCATATTATCAGAAATAATTTATCAGTTGACAACTTTTTGATATATTTTACAGTAACCGAGATAATTGAGCTACAAGTGTAAAGGATGCAAGTGCGGCCGACCGCGTAGCTCAGCGAGAACTTACATAATTTGAGCTCAATTACCTTGGTTCCTATGAAAGCTATCAAAAATCTGTTAACTGATAAAATGTTATAATGTCCCCAACATTTTATAATTTACAAATTTTTAATATCTTTTACAGGAAATGAGATAAGTGGTCTCTAAAGATCTCGCTGAGCTCCGCGGTCGGCCGTGCTAGCGTTCCTTATGCTTGCAGCTCAATTATCTCGGCTTAAAAAAGATATCAAAAATTTGTCAACTGACAAAATGTGACTGATATTACGATAAACTATTTATCAATTGACCATGTTTTGATTTCTTTCACAGAAAATGAGATAAATGAGCTCAAGTTGAGCTACGCGGTTTGCCGCGCTTGCGAAGGCTAGGCTTAAAACTCAATAATCTCGGTTCCTATGAAAAATAGCAAAAACTAGTCAATTGATAAAATGTGTGTCATGATTTCAGCAACATTTTTTTAGTTTACAGATTTTTGATATTTCTTTTAGGAAGCGAGATAAATTAACTCAGAAGAGCGCGCTCAGCTCCACGGTCGGCCACGCTTGCCACCATTATGCTTTCAGCTTAATTATCTCGTTCTCTATACGAGATATCAAAAACTGTCAACTAATAAAATATTTTTCTTAAAGTCACCAACATTTAAATAGTTTGCGGATTTTTAATATCTCTTGAAGAAATCGAGATATTCAACCTTAATGTGAACGTATCAGAAAAAACAGCCGTACTAAATTTTTAAAAGTTTTCTAAAACTTCATTGCTTCCAAAAATCGTCTTTAACTAGAAATTAGCTAAATTACTATAAACAGCAAAAAACAATGACTTACCCAAGTCGGCGATGGTGACAAGTGTGAGAGGTATGCCGAGCAACGAGAAAAGGATACACCATATCCTGCCGATGTTTGTGACAGGTACTGGATTACCGTAGCCGATGGTTGTGACTACAGTAACCGCGAAGAATATGGACGATGAAAATGTCCATGTCTCGGTTGCTGCGTTCTTTTTTACCTGGAAAAGAGGGGCGATTTTTATTGGGTATCTTGGTTTTAAGAAGGAGCGTTCTTTAGAGGAAGGTAGATAAACCTGCAACTATGACCCAATTTATCTAGGTTCCTGTAAAAGGTATCAAAAAGTAGTAAACTAATAAAATGTTTGTTATAGCAGTCTAAATATTTTGTGGGTCAACCATTTGTTGATATCTCTAATAGGAATCCAGATAAATCGATTCAAAGTTTACGGGCCATGAAGTTTTTGCTTCAAAGAAGCGCTACCTATATGTGCACTTTGAGCCCGTTTATCTAGGTTCCTATAAGAGGTATGAAAAACTTGTCAACTACAAAATTGTTTGTTATATTATCACCAACATTTTAGTAGTTTACCACTTTTTGATATCTTTAACAGAAATTGAGATAATCGAGCTTAAAATATACAGAGACTATCTAATAGAGCTTAAAAAATCAGAAAAAAAACTACGAATGCTCCAGATAAATGCTCATTTTTTCTAACTAGAAAAACAAAAACTAAAAACCTTGTGATCATCCAGAAAACAACCAACAAGTTTCGTGTCCCGCGGGAACAGCTTTTCTTTTTTCCTTTCTTTCTCTTCCCTCTCATTAATCTTCACACTATTTTCTCTTGCCTCTTTTCTTCAAATCTGATATTTTTCTTGTCACAAGGGACCTTTTTGTGAGAAAAAAAACACAAAAAGAACCAAAAATATTGCTAGGGGATCGGTGAGCGAAAAATTTGGAAAAAGTTTCAAAAGTCGAAAATCAGCACTTCAAAAATTTCAGAAAAATCTGGAACTTTCGAATTTTTTGGAAGTTCAGTATAGAATAGATGTCCCATATAAGTCCCATATGTGTCCCATATATGGGGCCACATTGCTCACCTCATTGCTCGTCAAAAAATACTTCTCAAACGCCACAAATAACTGATCAGACATATTGTGCATATGCCGTTCGGCTAGCGTCTCCCATTCGTATCGTTCTGAAAATACACGGTGGCCTAGAAACCCAAATTCTTCCAAAAAGAAAAACTAACTTGTCTCATTTCCAGCCGCCAACCGAATCAAATCGTCGACGAACTCATTTTGACGAGTGTAGATTAATTTTAGCTGGAAAAATGGTCAACATGATTTAGAAGCATTGCGAAAACCCTAAACTAGGAAAGCAAAAAAGGAAAAAAGAGAATGCCCCAAGCGGGGTTCGAACCCTGGACCTTGTGGGCGGTGGGCAAAAGCGTAACACACAACACCAAGATGATTATAGGTAAACAGTGGCGGAGGGCGTACAGGAAGGACGCGGCGGCAAGGATTTTTAGAGAGGGCGAGGCTGCGCGAATGGGATTTCAGATTTCAAAAACATGGTGGAAATTTTAGGATAGTGTCCTAATATTCATATTATGGAGCTTTTAGAACAGAAAATCAAGAAAAAAGAAGATGGAACCAAAATTTGTTGTCTAGAAAAAACTCTTGAGTCTGTCAGGTCTTTATTCCATCAGGAAAGTGCTCGCAAAAGTACTCGTAGGAAAAGGAAATAAAGAATGGAAGAAGAAGAGGAATAATGGGACGAGAAAGAAGAAGAAGGGAAAAGAAAATGAATGGTTTTGAAGAAGAAGGCGAAGAAGAGGTCGCTGAGCCCTGAAGCCATCTGCCACGTCAAATAGAATAGGAAACGAGATGGGGAAAAAGGACGAAATTGGCAGATGGCTGGCACGGAATAATGGGGTAAGAATATGGATAGATGGATTTTTGAATTTGGAATCGAAAAGGCTCTTTTTACTGCTCAGTACTTTAAAAAAAACAGGAAAAATTATTTTAAAAAATTTGGTTTCGCTCTTAATACTATTTTAATACACTGCAAAACTCCTCAAACCCTTTGCAAAAAATTTTAAAAGCCATTTCCTAAACAAGCAAAAAAGAAAAAAGGTATTTACTACCAGTAGGTTTCGAACCCCGGTGTTGAGATTGAAGTACAAAAGCGATAGCCGTGAAGCTACGCTAGCATTCGAGGAAAAGGGTGGTGGAGGTGATGGCGTATCGCGTGGCGCCCGGTAATTTTTGGGGGGATAAGGCGAGAGGAAGGAAAAATTAAAAAGAGGAAAACACTTCGAAATTTGCAGAAAAATATTGTTTTTTCTTTAATTATAAGAAATTTCAGGAAAATTTGAAAACTTTGAGGTGTTTGAACAATTTTGATGATTCAAAAAATTATTCCGAAGGAAAATTTCGAGAACTCTCCTTCTAAAGAGTCCTTTTTAGGCCCGATCTCTTCTTTTTTTTTTCTATATTTCACAACACTTTTGGTCCTTTCCCCCTTTTTTCCTTCTAGAAACTCCCCTCTGTCTCCTCCTCTATCTCTCGATGCACACTCTACTTCCCCTCCCTCTCCCCTCTCCCTCTCGCGCTCTTCCTCTCTTTCCCCCCTATTCATATACGTCTTGTGTTCCTCTCACTATCGTAGCACGGATGGCCGAGTGGTCTAAGGCGCCAGACTCAAGCGACAGCTTGCCTCAAGTTCGAGGTCTCACTGGGTGTTCTGGTACTCGTATGGGTGCGTGGGTTCGAATCCCACTTCGTGCAGATATTTTTGCATTTTTTTTGCTTGGGAGGAGTTTCCTTGGGTTTAAAGATCACATCGTTTACCTAATTCCCTAGTGTATTCATCAAATGCTGACCTTATTCTTTTTTTTTGATTTTCTGGCCTCCTTTCAAATTACAAACTACAGAAATTCTGTTCCACAATAAATAAAAAAGTAGCAGCAAAGATCCTTAAGATGGGCAAATCTAGGGCTTTGATCGCCAAATAAGGAAAATAACTAGAAAATCTTGGTATAAAAGGGGTCCAAAAAAGAAGAGAGGTATCAAATTTCATATATTTTGATATTCTCCTTCAATCATCTTTGAAAAAAAAATGTCCCAAAATCTATTCCAAATTCTTCTCATTTTCGCCATCTTGGCAGCTCTTCAGGTCCAGGGGTAAGCTTGAAAGCTACAGTAATCCCACAGTAACCCTAATACAGATTCTTGTTCCCAACCTACTCGTCCGGATATGACTATGATTGCTATGGATACGGAAACGGTTATGGTAATGGATACGGTAACGGCTATGGATACGGTAATGGATACGGATACGGTGGATATTGAAGGAATCTTGGACCTAATGACTTTTTGAAATTTTAAAAATATAATAAATAAAGTTTATCATCAGCAATCCTAGTGTTTTTGGAGACTCTATGATAGAAAACAGATTGAGAAACCAAAATTTTTCACTTTCACAGAAAAAATAGGCATAACATTTTTTAGAAATCTCGTAAATCCACACCACGCCGCACCTTGTCACCCGCGCCTTCTTGTACGCCCTCCACCACTATCCAATATAGTATATCGGTGGTGTAACGGTTTACGCTTTTGCCCACCACCCACGAGGTCCGGGGTTCAAACTTCGTTCGGTTCAAAATCTTTTTTCTTTTTTTAGCATCAAAATCGTTATCAGACATCACCTCTTACGAGTTTAAGGGCTATTTTGACTTTTTAAGAAACAATTTGAGAACAACTGACAACCGGATTTGGAGTAGGGATGGTGTAAACATTTTGGTCGACAAATAAAAAATTGGTCGAACAGAAAAAAAATTAGGATGAGTAATCATGGTCTTCAAAATTTGGTCTCCAATGCCTTTAAAAAAACTATTCACCTGCTGCTCCTTCATCATTTGCTCGTGTGGCTGCTCGACACTGTAGAATATAAGTGCTCCAATTACGGTATAGGTGCAAGTGAGCAACACGAGAGCTACATGGGGTAGGACGAGTTTTGCGAACTGGAAATTTTCAATTTGAAAAATTACCCAAGGTAAAAAAATTCGAAAACTATTGATATTTAGACCCGAAAAGTTCAAAAACCCTAATAAAAATTGAATTCTCGCCTTTCAAAATATCTGGAAATAGCTTTAAACATATACAAAAACATATGTAGCCCAAGAGGAATCGAGCTTGTGAGCCATGGATTCATAGGCAAAGCTTTTAACCACTAGACCACGCAGGCAGGGCGAAGCAGCGATCCTGGCTGTGCTTATAAGGGTGACGCTGCGCCTTTGCGCGCCACATCTCCCTTATAAACACCCGCCAAGCCCGTCGTCACCCATCGCTCCTGTGGCCTAGTGGCTAACACTATTGACTATGGATCTAGGACACAAAAGTTCAATTCCTTTTGCTTCCTATATGTTTTTATAAGTTTTATAGCAATTTTTGCATAGTTTCAAGACCAGCCTAGAAACCCTTGGAAAATAGCATTTACCTTCCGTATCCCAGTTTCCTCCTCTTCTTCATCCTCATCCTTGGTCTCATCGTCACTTTCATCGTCAATGTCTTCGTGACCGCTCTGAGTGAATATGTTTTATTTATTAAAGTTTTTAGAGAATATAGGGAATCAGCAACCTGAAATCGTTAGAAAGTTCTGGAAAATTTATTTTGTTAAAACACACAAAAAAACGGGGAAAATCTAGCCGTGCAAAGGGTAGAACTTACAACCATGAGCTCCGAAATGAGCTCAATTTCGACTTCTTCATTTTCAATGAAAATTTTTGCTGGCGTTTTTCGACCATTCTTACCATGAAGATGTGCATAAGGGCATACAAATTCGGGTGGTTCTTTCTGATTTATATAATTTAGAACATTTTGTCTAAAGACTGACAGACTAAAAATAAGTTCAAAAGTTAAAAAAAGCAAACTCGCTCCACTGCAAATGAAAAAAGAAACAAACCTTATCACAACTATGTATCATATGACTATCCTCATAGTATTCGGCTCGTCCCAGGCCGGCTCTTGTCACTTCTTCACCAAATAGAGCTTCCTGAAATCAAAGGGGAAGAAAAATCATGCAAAAAACGTTGAAACATGCAATTTGTTTGGGTACCCTACTTAGGGGGGGGGGGGGGGTAAG